TGACAAACTGCAATGATATGAGTTTATTTCCATTTTTGACACTTTATTACACAATACACGATAACAAGTTTGCCAACATTTTTAAATAATCAACTAACAATGTTGTAAAGATGCAGGAAATTTCAAACAAACACTTTTATGTATCTAATTAGTTAAATAATAAGGCTATTAACATGCCTAAGAACTGAATCTGAGGAAATGTGAAAAAACAGCATAACTTCTAAAATAATGGCCTGATTATGCTGATTTTCGAACTCAACCTGCGTTTTAGTAAGATTGACCACTCCTGTGAGTTTAATGACAATTGGCCTATCTGTTTTTCTTATATTGTGTTTACAGTGTTGCATATATGCTGAAAAATGAAAAAACAGCATAACTACTAAAATAGTGGCCAGATCATGCCGATTTTCGAACTTGTCCTGCGTTTCAGTAAGATTGGTTACTCCTGTGAGTTTCATGACAACAGGCCTAACGGTTTTCCTTAAAATGTGTTTACAGGGTTGTATATATGCTGAAAAGTGAAAAAACAGCATAACTTCTACTATAATGGCCCGATCATGCTGATTTTCGAACTTGACTTGCGTTTTATGAATATTCATCAGCTCTGTAAATATAAAAGCAAAAAATAAAACTGTGTTCCACTTATCGTGTTTACAAGGAAAGTGCACGGCATCGGCATCGGCATCGCCATCGGCATCGCCATCGGCGACGACGGCGACGACAGACGCAGGTGATGGCAATATGTACAGACACATCTGTGTCTGTACATAAAAATAGATTAAAGACCATGGATGCCCAGTGTCTTATCAGGCCTGCTGTAATATTGCTGGAAACTGCAACTCCTTCTTGAAAATTAGCAGCAATAAAATTTTTCTTTCAAACTCATGCAAACTTGTTGCCACAAACTAAATATTGCTGCAATATTTGCTGAAAATTTTCCATTTTGTTAAGGGATATATTTTGCATATTATAGCTATAGTTCTGAATTTGTTTGGATTACACAATGTTCAAAATTACTCTAGATCACATTTCTGGATACAGCTCTTTGATAAGTAAAATAACTTAAGTTGGTTTTGGGAGATATTGGTTAAATATTGATTCCATCAAAAAATAAATTTTGATGAGATATTTTTGCATTAATAATTCACTCACTATGCCTTTTTATTAGCTACAATATGTTTGCAATAAAACAAGGATCAAACACATCTATCCATGAATAAAATCAGAAGTATTTTTCACTTAAAATATTTTTTTATTTAAGCCAAACCAGCCCATTCAAATATCTGTTCAATTTAATGGATTTCTAACAATTTTCTGGAAAGATCCATCACTGAACAAATTTAGGTTTTGAGGCAGCCAAGACCAAATAACACAACACATCCCTCCACAAACGAATCATCATTAGAAATGGTAGTTTGAATTCAAATTGAGCAAAAAAGAAATAGCATGTGATTTATTACACTTAAAGAAGGTATCATTTACAGCAACGGTTGTGCTTCAAATTGGTTATTTTTCAGCTCTTTTTCTACCACTTTGCCAGGCACTTAGCCCTCGATTTAAATGTAAGAGCAAATAAAGCAACTGGATATCTTTTAGTGGAGGTAAATAATCATCAAGAGCTTGAATCCCCAAATACTGTCACATATTGTGCTAACAATTTGAAAGAAATAAACAGCATTTCAAGATACTGTGCCATTTCATGTCAAGAACCCCATTAAGACAATCTTTAGTAACCTAAGAGCCATCTCTCATTGCAGCAGATGGCAGATTTGTTTTGTAGGGGTCAAAGATTGACATATTCTGTGTACTTCCCAAAAATTGTTTATGACACCCTTTTTGGGGAATGTCAATTAGGGATTTTTTAAAATGCTACTCCATGTTACAGATTGGTACTTGAAGGTAATTTCTCACTTTTTATTGGAACAAAATTTCTTCCCTAAAATGTTCTGACAGTATTTTCTTTAATTATACAATTCCAAATTTCTGAATAGCCATGATTAATTAGTACACATTATGTTACATGATTAACTCCAAAAAATGTTTTGTAAAAGAAGAGTGCTCAATAACATGACATTTAAATATATTAGTAAAATACTGAGTATTATTCACGATTAAAGTTAATTCTGTCATGGATCCTGGAGAGGATGTCTTGTGAGCAGTTTACTTCTGTGAGGAAAAGCAATGTTCTTATAATAGTTATAATACATTGACAGGAAAGGGAAAACTTCATTCTATTTATGATTCAGAAGTTAAAAATGACAGACACTGTAAAATAACTCTCACCATTAATCTGTGAAGAAATTATGAAAACTTAAGAAAAAAATCCTTGTTTTACTACTGGCATCCATCTTATACATACATATATATATATATATATATATATATATATATATATATATATATATATATATATATATATATATATATATATATATTACTGAAAATCAAGAACTCACAAAAAGCTGACACAGCCCGTTCCTTTGGGTGGGGCCATCCACATGAATGACAAATTTTGCTGAGGCATGCGACTGAGGTGCGAATGTATCATAGAGCACATGTAGTTCACCCCTTGGTGAGGCCCCCCACTTCCACTAATGGCCGCCATAGGAGAAGTCAGTGGCGACACATGCGCACCGGATGCTGTCGTGTATAATCCGGTGAGGAGAAAGCCATCAAAGTCGGAGCTGGATCTGATATACACTAAAAATAAATAAATAATAAGGGTAATTGTTTGTGTCAACATTAAACTTCATTGAGGAAGAAAATTACAAACTTGCAATTAGCAAATCTTCACTGGGAAATAACAAATTGCACTAATCGACTTGAGCTGTCTAGTAGGAGCCATAATTTTGTTTAAGGGCCTTTCTTATCCAAAATAGAAAGACATTGTCTTTTGGTTTCATTATATCCTAACCTTAAAAGTTCAAATTTGCCACTAAATTGGCGGCCTAAAACTTCTTAGTCAAGATTCATGTAGTAATCTTTAAGACCTAGAAAATATTTCAGTTCTTCTATAACAAGCAATACAATATATTTGTCATATGTAATCCATATTGTACTTTAAAGTGCTTTCAGTTCTTTACAGTCTACAATTATCAATTACAAAATACAATTACATATTTAAATACTGTCTTTTTATAACAAGCAAAACAGTATATCTTTTGTAACCCATAGTTACAAAGCACTATAAAGTCTACAGATGAAAATTGACACATTTAATACTTAATAAATCATTATCTGATTATAAAGCTGGAGTTCCTCCAGTGTAACTTTTGTTTCAGCAAAATATTTCACTTCACCTAATCTGTGATAAGTGAGACCACAGTTATTTCCTAACACTAAGCAATATATCAGGAACATTTGTTGAAAATGTTAACACTCATGCAAAATGAGCCAGGAGAGCCAGATCTCACCTCCATACAACTGCCCTGGTGTATAAAACTGTGGGTTGCCTTCGATGGAGACACTTATGGCAACCTCTCCTTGCTCAGGTCCTACCGCTTCCTGTTGACGATGATAGTTACATAGGAAGAAGAACGGAGAGAGAAATGGCAGCCTCCCCTGAGAATCGCACGACTGAAGAGTCAGTAGCAGCAATGTGAGCACTTGTACATGTGACATCGTGCCCGATTTTACGCCTGGAATGAACCATTAACAACGTCAAATGCTTGTCCCTGTTTTTGTGACATAAAACTCAGGAAACTTAATTTCAGAACACATCAGTTGTAAGTCAGCCAAACAATCTCTTTTAAAAATCAGCACTTAAAAGACCTGAACAATGGGGAATAGTTTCCTAGATGAATAAATAAACATATCTAATTGTTTTAAAACATTGCAGAGTTTGGGGAGGAATAATATTTTAGTTGCAAGAGGCATCTTTCAGCTTCTGTAGTTTCAGGTTTTGAAAACATACCAGTGGTATTTTGTCAACAAACAATCTAGGTGTCATCTACTACTGTGGTTTCCACTTCACTAAAAGTAATTGCAGTTGTAAATCTGGGTTCAGGACAAACTATATGACTTTTACCAAAAGAAAAAAAACATTTGGCAAATAAAAACAAAAAAATTCACATCATCTTGTTACATTTTGGAAAGTGCCAAATAACTTCATATCCGTGCTTCTAAAACTAAATCAATGACATTTCCTCTATTAACTGGCAGATTCTTATTGCTACTTTGAAAAGTATAAAAAAAATAACTTCTTATCTAACACTTACTTTTTCAAGCTTTCACGTTCCTCAGATAAAAAAAGTTTCCTTCTCTTTCCCCTCACTGCTGGAGCATATGCTGCAGGAAACTTGGGTCCCATTTCCTTTTATGATTCCTTTTTCATAATGCTTTTTTTCCCCTTAGACACCAAATTCCAAATAGCAAGGACTTCAGTGTGAAATTTCAAGCCTGTTTCTTCCAAACACAGCAATATGGGACTCTTCTACGATAAGTAATTTCAAATCTCATAATACAGTTCACAGTTATGTACTTCTAATATATGGCCAAAAAATATGGATTTCTAATCATGATTTAATGATGATAAAAATGCTGGGGCCAAATCTTTTACAAGAATGCCACATTCAATGATGTCAAATTATCAAAATGATCACATAGAGACAAATTTATCTATCAAGGCAACCTTTCTACTTCATTTCAGTGCTTTTAATAGGCATCTCTTCACTTCACTTGGAAGGATCTCAAAAATCAAAACTTTAAAAATTCAATTTCGGTGATAAATAGTGAAGTGGAGCCACTCAAGATAGACAGATTGAAAATGTCACTATCAGTTCCAGAAAATAAACCAGAGAGTAAAGTTTATAAACATTGCACTAAATCACAAACAACACAATGTTTAAACCACCTTAAAGGCATTTCTGTGTTCTACCCATAAACAGTGACAGTGTTTTCCTCTCTTGTACGACAGCTTTAAGACAACTTTCTCTAGTATTGTTTACCAACTGGACTTGCCAGTAGCTCATGACTGTTACCAGGTGGGAGGGGTATACTGATTACACCCTAAAACATAGTTTAAGTTATTTTGGACACTGATTAATTACATCTATTCTTCAAATGCCACTCTGGCCCTGGTGAATACACAGTAAATCACACATTTCAGGAAGCAACATGTATACAAGCTTCATGGTAAGAAAAAAAGAAAAAAAACTTGATACAAGAAAATAAAGACTTTATTACACAGTTTCTGATAGCAGAACCCTGCTGTGAGTTCACTTCTTATCAGTGTAACATGGCACAAAGAGATGTAACTTTACAGCTGTTTGCCCCATTTCTCAGCAACCGATAAGGAAAATCATCCCAAAGTTCAAATTACTTTCATATGTGTGCATGTGTGTCTGCATATATCTAAAATTTAGATCATTTTCATGTCTGTGTATGTATTCGATGTATGTTATGCTTATGTCAGTATTTACAACAGCCAGCACATTCACAGAAACCCGCAACTGAACTCACAACTCAATCATTCAAAACACCCGAATCCCAATGTTTTCAAGATCAAAATTTTAATATTTTCTTACAAAAATAAAGCACATCCAGCCATTGTCATTTCACCTTACTCAGTAGTTAATGATTTTGACTTTAATTTTTTTTTTTAATAAAGTTTTAACATTTTACTCATGGGGCAGTAAGTCATATTACAAAATTTATGTTATCAGTGATTGAAAAAATTGCTTCCAGGTTTACTGGAATGAGAATATTAAGTAAGGAGTTGTGCCTCCTACAAACACAATCCTATGTATCTCAACCACTGCAATGTGTGAACAGCAATAATGCAACATTTTTCACAGCCACTTTAAAGGCCAAACATTGTTAATTCTTTAAAATCTTCTAATGATGGCCAAACCTTTTTTGAAATACATGCGTTTCAATGTTTAATTGATATTATTTCCAGATGAGGATGGCAGTCAGCCCAATCACAAAGTCACCCTCTTCACTCCCTTACACATGTTGCATGCCCCATTTTATAACCATTGGTACAAGTAGCAACTGATTTTATGTTAAACTTTAAATCCCCACAATTATTGCAAAATAGTACCATTTAAGGTTGGTAATACTTGCTGCTGCCTCTCCATCCCATAACAGTATCACTGGAAGATCTTGTTTTACAGTGATGGGCTTAACAGAGACAAATTCACATTTAAGTTTGGTCATTACTGTAGAGTTTTTTATCTTGTGATTGATCACATAAGTATTGTACATATGCACAAGAGATTTGGAATAAACCAGTAGTAAAAAGATATAATTACTTGCTGCCTCTCTTAACATATCCCATAGGCCATAATAGTCCTCTCTGGTCTGACAATGACACGCTAGCAGAAAAACATTCACCAGAGCAGAATTAATACTGGCATCTATGTGTTTAGTCTTTCTAAAACAAGACAATATACTTGCTTCTGCCTCTCTATCCAATAGTTGTATCTTCCCGTCATAGACAAGCTCAATAGAAAAATATCAATATTTAATATTGAAAATCTCCTCTTCAGTAGGTATAAAACAAGACAATACTTGCTGATGCATCCCTACATATGAGAACAGTACATTCCTATCTGATAGGTCAGGGGATCTTCCTTGCTGATGGTTACTTGTTTTCCTGTTGATTTCCCAAGTTTCTCCAATCACAATTATGTAGTTTCATACAAAATCATACAAGTACTGTACTATATCAAACTGAACAGTCCTGGAAAATAAGAAACAAGTGTCCTTAAATATTTGTTTCAATGCCCAGAAAACATACTTTTAAGATCACCATTAAAAATTACAAAAAGATCACACATGAAGGAGTGTATCTCAAAGACCTTTAAAAATTTCATTGTAAGTTCTGAATAAGCTATGAAAAAAGTTTTTATCAATTTGTAAAAGTGCAAAAAACATTAAGAAATATTTCATTAAGACACACTGATTTTAGCAGTTTATCAAGTGTCACCATGCACACATCTTTATCTTTTCACAAAAAAAAAAAAATTATTATCACCTTTAAATGTCTAGATCATATAGAATGAAAAAGGATCAAAATTTGAACAGATACTATCCTACGTTTTTTCTAAATTGTATCAATAAAATGACATTCAGACATGGAACATGAAAATGAACATTTGAAGACCCCATGTAAAGTACCCACCTTGCCACTTGTTTAATGAAGTCCAGGGACACCAGACATTTATACTTGGGTCCCTCCAGCTGGTCACTGCTGCCCACCTGGGCCAGGAGCTGTAATGTCACCAGAGATGTCACCTAGAACAAAACAATGAATGGACTTTTACTTTTTTTTTCTTTTTTGGGACATAAAGACTGAAGGTGCTGCAATATTATTAGACACTAATCTTTGACAACAATGTTTCTTGATTACTATGAGATGCTGGCTTTTGTGACAATGTTTCCAGATTACAAAATGGAATGTTGACTTTTGATGACAATATTTCCAGATTACAATGAGACATTGACCTTAAATGATAATGTTTCCAAACTATAATGACAATAACCATTTTTGCTCATTTATAATAATATGTTGACTATTTCTGATGAAGTTTCCAGATTACAACAAGATAATTACAAAACAATTTTTCTTGAAAGGAAAAATACTGACTCTAATAAAGAGGTAAGTATTAATGTGTTGGCATTCTATCATAAACAAGGGTTCGACACATCATACCTGAGAGAATATGTTGGCAGTAGGAACTACTCTGCCCTCTATAATTGAGTGAAAGATAGCCATCAGCCGATCCAGTGGAAATGGCTTCGGCCCCAAGAGCTGGTTACTTGTCTGAAAGAGAAGATTCATCATTTTTGCTTGTGAGCTGTAAAATATAATTATTATTTTTCACTACAATTCTGTAAAAACAAAAGAATATTTTCAAATTAGTCTGGATGGGAACATAAAAAGCTAAATATACCTCACCGATGAGCTTCCCCACAATTTAAATAAGTTATATAAATAAAATTAGAGCTATTACTGGTCTGCAGAAAAGAATTCAAAATTTTCATTCACAACTTGGGAAAAACTATATTACGTTGATTTTAAAACAATGAAACATTTTTTTAAAATCAATATTGGGAAAAATTACTGAAATTTAAAAAACTACCTAAATTCTATTTTATGCAACAAAAGTAGAGAAATGCTCTCCATGAAAATACTCTCCATACAGTTAAACTCACCCTTTCATGTTTCTTAACAGCTCGGTTAGACTTTCTTTGTTTTCCACAGTTCTGAAATGTGAAATAAAAGATTAATCTTTCTTTTTTTACAGATTTGTGAAACAACTTTCTAAACTATGAATGCATTACACCACAGTGTCATATAATAAAATTGTCCTTCATTCATAAAATCAAATATATGAGTGAATCTTTCTGTTCCAAAACTGAGCAAGTTTTTTTCATGGGTTCTTCCTGACCATAATCATACTGTTTAAGAGACCAGGATATTATCAACTAAAAAGTCATTTTTCTACATAACTATATGACAATCATTTAATCAGAAAGGTTCCCCATTGTTTTTTTGTATAAAAATAAATAAATAAATAAATAAATAAATAAATAAATAAATAAATAAATAAATAAATAAAGCATCCACACCTTAGTAAAGAATCTTCTGTCAGACTTGGCAGGGTTGTAGGAGGCAAGGTAAGCAGCCACCAAGAGATACTTGGAGTAAAATGGCAGCTCCACATTAGCCCTGGCCACATGAAGGGGGACGGGGCCACCAGCAGCACCCATACACTTCTCCCCCTCCTCATCCTCCATCAACTTCTGCTGCATGGACTCCCACTGCTTGCTGGAACGTACAGAATTAAGGTCACTTATCTATTTATTTATTTATTTATTTATTTATTTATTTATTTATTTTAATTCTGGAGGTAGGACATCTACTCTTTCTTTAAACTATGATTATTACACCAAAACACATACTGTAAAATATATGTCCTAATTTTCTTTTCCGATGACTTGTGCTAATTTAACAAAGGCAAGTTGCACCTCTTTAAATCGCCCCCCCTGTAAGTTATAGCCAGAAAATATTACCTGGAGACCTCCCTGAGATAGACTGTTTGCAGAGCTTTCTTTAAGAATGGTTCAATGTGTTTCCAAAGTTTCCTGGATTCAGATATTGTGGCTAAAAACAGATTTATTTCCATAAGAGCCAGTTCTATAATTTGACTAAGTCATTTTCCTAATTTTTCAAAAGTTTCTTATTAGACAGCATTAAATTCAATATTTTTCAAATTTCATATCCGATTTTTTAATTTTGAAATTTACTTTGCATTCTTTTAAAATATCAAGGATACTAAAACACTAAACAAAACAAACATGGCAAATTTTTTTGTTTATTTGAATAATAAGTGAAAAAAAAAACATATATGCAAGATTTTTTTTAAGTAAAAGTTTTATTTTATCAAAATCAGAACCTCTAATCTTTAAATTACTTACCATCCCCTGACTTGATGGGTTCCACATATAAAGGGAAGTTTAACTGTGCCTGAAATGATAATAATTTTATCTATGAATTTTACCATAGCTTACTAAAGTAAGTTAACTTTAAATTAACTTTAAAAAATAGAGTATATAAACTGACTTATGAAAAAATGTAAACAGCAATTCAGAAAAGAAAATATACACCAATCACTATATGCAATAAAATCACATATTCTAAAAAAAAAGGGAAAAAGTCAATAAAAAATCCATTTAATCAATAAGGAGTCCCTAAATGCAGCTATTATTTATGTTTTGCCTTAAAAAAAATGCAAAAAAAAAAAAAAAAAACTTCACCTGAATTTGCGAGGAACTGATTGAGATATCTTGTCCACAAACAAACAGAGACGCAAACCAACCAACCAACCAACTAACCAACCAATGCAGAAGAAAACAACCTCTTTCATAATGGAAAAATATAACAAGGAAAGCCGACCATACTTACCAGGTGCCTGAGTTCAGCCAGATTTCTACAGGCCAGGTAGAACACACTAAGGACCAGGGTGATGTAGGACTTGTAGAAAGTGACAGGGTAGTCCTCAGGACTGTCCAGAGCCATGATCTCCAGGAGTTCCTCTACAAGGGGGAAAATTGACCAAAGTAATGATTGGATTGTGCAAGAAAGGTAAAGGTTAACAAAAATTATCTTTAAGTTATCTGTTTCATAAAATTAAAAATTCTCCAATTGTAAAATATCATTTTGGTAGTTATAATTACTGTAACATGGGTAACATGAAGTAACGGGACTTTGAAAAATGCAACTATGTCATTCAATCTTGACAAAAAATTATCTACTTTTACACAGCTATTACAGACAACTATTATATTTGAAATTTCATACCTTTTGTGTAGTCCTGAAAGTAGATAGGAAAGGGGTCTACCATTCCTGTTCCTCCCCAGAATTTCTCCCACACTATTTCTGTGATCAAGATCACACTAACTTTGCACTTTGTCTGAAAAAGAAATTATAACATAATATTAAAGAATAAGCAAGAGCAAAAAGCAAACTTTGATAAGATAAATTACTTAAAAACACTTCCTCGGTTACATGACTCGATCACATAACCTGAAATTCTGTTGTAATACAATTAGATTTTAGAAAATTGCACTGTGTTTAAACATTAACCTTTCATAGATAAAAATTCACTGTAATATATTAGTTTCTCTTTGATCATTTTATATACCACACATGTGTGCACACACACACACACACACACACACACACACACACACACACACACACACACACACACACACAAAATGATCTGAACTATGATGCAGATATGGGTAAGGTTTCCTAAAATGTCTCAAGAAAATGACAATATTTCACACCAATGTCACACACTAAACAGGAAACAACATGGGAGCACACACACACACACACCTTTATATCCTCATCATACATAGCCTAACTTACCAACTCCTGAAGCTTCAGCAATGCTGGCAGGACATTACCTTCCATATCTCTGAGCCTTTCAGCCTTGTCTAATACCTGAAAAATACCATTTTTCCACACACTTACTGACAGTAATCTTTTATCAATTTACTTTCTATGGGGAATTCTCATTGAAAAGTGTCATTCTTATTGTCCCCCAATTAATTAATTAATATCAGCCTGAAACCATAATATTCTCCATACACTTGTTGATATGTAGCTTGTGATCAATTAGCTTTTTTATATGACATTGTTTTTAAAATGTGAAATTCACAATACTTCCAAATACAACCAAAAATAAACATGATTACTGAAAACAGTAAAATTACTGGCAACATTTTACATAGCTTATTTTACATAATTTTGTATTTGTAATCTCACTATCCAGAGCTGTCAGCTTTCAAAATTACTACCTCTGATAACTGACAAGAAACTTGTTATTTACAATGTAAAATGGATCATCCACCAGCGTCTCCTGTAGCCCATGGGTCAGTGCCCTGACAAAGTCATTCATGTTGTCACACCTGTGGGTCACGCTGAAGTCATTGGCTGGACAAGGGCCGTCCCCTAAGAGAGCATTCAGGATCTCCTCGTATAAAAGTTTGGCTGAGTAACATTCCACACAATTCACTAGTACATGAGGGAGCTAGAGGAGAAAAGATATTAATTATCAGCTAACATAGTAAAAATAAAACATATATTGTCCAAATGTCATTATTTGTACACAAGCAATACATTATGAAAGCTATGTTATCTACTCTTATGCCTGCATTTGCTACTTTCACATAAGTTCCAGCTGATGCCAAAGAATGAAACCTGAACCAAAGGATTTGTTTGAAATAAATGATAATTTGATTTATAAGTTGACACATTATACTGAATCTACTGTACTGAATATTGTTTGAACTGTATAAACAATTATCTGTGACTGTACATACTTTCATTATTTTCATTGTCTGGTTGACCACCAGAGACTTCCCAGTTGCTGTCACCCCATATACAAACACAGCTGGATACGGTTGAGGAGGACTACACAATGACAACAGTAAATCTATCTGCCCCTTTCTTCCAGGTATCAGCTCATACAGCTGCTCTTTGGCTGTAGCAACATCCATTTTTATTTACAGGCTGTGCCGGGCCTCATTGGGGTGTTTTGTTCTTAAAATAAAAAAAGACCACTTGAAAGAATTAGCTGAAAGAAAACATGTAGCATTTGAAACACTGAGTACTGTACTAGAATGTACTAATAATATTTTTGCTAATATTTTGTATGTACCATATTTAATGCGGCAAGAAGACAAAATTGTCAAAAGTTAGCGAGCACTTCCGAAATTCCTCTTCATATAATTTTTCCATTCCATGCATTATATGTTAGACAGTACAGTACACGTAATCAAAGCAAACTTTCCATAAAGGGCATTCTTAAGGACTAAAACTTGAAGGGAAAGAGAGCAAACTTGCCACATATTCGAAGCAGCCGCCGCACGTGTGCATCCATGAAAAGCACCTCCAGTAATGATCTAATTGGTTAATGTGGCGTTCACTAAAATAGTGACAGGAAATGGAGCTGTCGAAGTTGTAAAACCAAATTGCCTTTCCGTTTAAAAACTAAAATATCTTCAGACAAGTAATAATTACATGTTATTAAGAGTGCAAACTTATTTATTCATTTATTCAAGTTAATTTCCCATCTCTCACCCGGCTACATAGAAAATTAGGAGAGAATGTCTGCTTGACAGGTAGGTAAATTACTCGTCTCAAACTTTGAGTAGAGGTTCAGGTATATTGTTTTAGTTCATGCGAAACATACATCTTGTCAAATACATGATTCAGACTAAGATTTTATGCAGGGCATGTTTTACATCTTAATGCCTTCTTAGTCACCATTAAGGGTTTGGAATTGTCACCTGTGAAAAAGTGGGTCACCAAACCTGTTTTATTGTTGACATTTTATTCAGGGGGGTGATTGGCAGTTCCTGCTATTTGCGTTTTTGTAAAGGATTAAAGTGCACAATCATTTTTATCTAATAATTTTTTGTTTATCTTTTGTGTTAATCTTCATAGTTTCATGAGGGCTTAGTATATTAAAGGGTCCCTAAATTGCAAACAAAGTTGAAAATTTTCCCACCAGCCCTCCCCGAAACACGTAAATACGTCTTGTGTTTTAATATGAAATGATATATTATACCTTTCAAGCTTGCCCATAGCGCACCCTGTCTTGCTGCACTGGCTCAGACAAAAAAGGGATTTCCACAGCAACAGGTGACCGGGCAACAAGAAGTGAGAAAAGATTCTTTCTAAAGATACCTTTCAATCATTAGGAGCTTGGACTTTACAACAGACGAGTGAAAATAGTGTTTTGTGGATAGCTTGAGAAGATAATTGTTCAAAAATGTATCAGGAAACGACAACATGGGAATCTCGCACTTATGAATATCACAACAAATACGTACGAAATTATCGTGCTATTGGTGTGCTATGGGCCATCCTGACTGTGTGCTTCGTTATTATCAACATTGTGGTGTTTGTTCAGCCACAGTGGATTGGAGACACGGGGAGTATTGATGCCGCAGGGTATGGCCATTTTGGTCTGTATCGCCACTGCGCTTTGAGGTCCAACGAAGCCCTTGTGTGCTCTGGTGGCATTGATAACTGGGATACAATACTATCGCCAGCATTTAAGGCAGCGACAGCGTTCATCGGACTCTCTGCACTGTTCATACTGCTGTGCATTTGCTGCTTCCTGCTATTCTTTTTCCTTAGAGCATACTATGTGTTTTATATATGTGGAACTATACAGGCACTGTCAGGTAAGCTTACTATAGTATATTATATTCTGTTGTTATTACAAGTTTTGTATACTTGTACTTGACAATCACACTACTCTTGTGGGGAAAAAGTTTCCTTTCCTGGGTTATAACATGGATTTGTGAACCAAAAGGGAATCCTGTTACTAGTAATTGTATCAGTCATGTATGTAATATTATTTACTAGTTAAATATGTGATAAAATCAATCGGGCATGTTCAAAAAATGATGTAATATATTCAATTTTCTGGGTTCATAGACTGGCAACCTTGGATTAGTTATAGAATCAACTACGTAGAATTGACACTGCAATATATTAAGTGTTCCAAAAGTGACAGCTAATACCTCAAAATATTAATACTACAAATATAAATAAACTGCTTTATAATATAAATTTAATCACTTGGACAAAAGTTATACCTTAAAAATCCTTTTTGAGTCTTGATATCCTGAATGTACAAATGATTAATCTCCAAGACTTTATCCTTATCACTACTTATAGATATGGTGACATTATTTACGAATATTTAGGATGCTTTCTTGTCTTATCATTCTAGACATCATCTCAGGTACTCAATCATAAAATTTTGTCGAATTTTTGAAAATAATAACAAGTAAGATGCCCCATACATGTAGGTTTTTGGATTTGTGTCTTCTAATATCTGCATGGAAGTCAAGAAACTTAACCTCCCCTATTATCAATAAAGGTTTTCGGTACTAATAGGGATTTAGGTTGCATAATATAGTAATATAACTGGCAGATTTCATTAAAAAAAAAACAATTGGTGTGTAGTTTTTAACAGTGGGAATAGGTTTAACACATTGATAATTAAGTCTATCCCTGCATTTCAGTTCCTAGGCTATGTAACTGTTATCTAAAAAAACACCAAATGAAGTTTAATTATAGGAATTCTTTTTAAGTACTTCACTCAATATATTGGAACAACATGGATTGATGATTCCTCCCCAAACAAGGTTTTGCTAATAATAACTAAAATTCCAGTTCTGAAAAGTAAGTTGGAATTGTGTCAGAAAATACATTGTTGTGAGTGTCCGAAAATGATAAATATTGAAAAAAAAAATGAAAAATTAGAAAAATTGTGATGTTTGAAAATGTCAAGTAATAACCATAATTATTTGTGATTTTTTTCCAGTCCTGTGTATGTTCCTGGGTTGTGTCATCTACCCAGCAGGCTGGGACCATCTTATTGTCTACAATGTGTGCAAAGGGGGTCTTTATGACGCTGGCGTCTGTCAGATTCGCTGGGCGTTCATTCTCGCCATCATCGGCATCTTTGATATTCTCTTTCTGTGCATCCTGGCCTTTGTTCTGGCACTGAAATATCCTAAGGCACTACCAACGTATTACAAGAGTGAGACGATGACTAAATGTAAGTATTCTGCTTTTCATTCAGTTGACAGTGTTTGAATATGGGTAAACTTAGCATTTTCAAATAATTGGCCTTATTTTGACATGGTTTAGTTGAAATCAAAGCTTGTTTTCAATCCTACAAGATTTTTTTGATAACTAATATGAAGTTACATCTACTTGTGAGAGAGTGCTGTCTTTGGCCTTGCAGTAAGCTGTGTAGTTATTTGTGTAACTTTTGTTGAAAAAAAAAAATGCCATAATCCTTGCTTATTAACCTTTGCATTAACTTCCATATCTCATTAACCATACTCTTTAAATATGGTAACTATATTTTGTAAATAAAGTAAATATGCTAAGTTACTTTGTTTCTGCATGTGTGTGTTACCCAACCACTGATTTAACTCTATATATTTCTTTTACTGTAACCTGATGCCCACCATTATTATTTTACAAGGATCAATTTTTTGTCAAAACACAAAATGATTATTTTGTTTTATTGAATATAAGTGTCCTTGACGTTTTTTACTTTATTTCATTTACATATTTTTTAGGGGGGGGGGGAGCTTTATAATTGATTAACAGAAGACTCATATGTTATATGGCTAAAATATGTGTACTGGTATTGTCCATAGAATGAAAGCATCACTATGTGTTGTTTTATCCCAAAAAGTTCTTTCAACTCTTAGAATCAGACACTCACTGTAAAATCCTCCTGTAAACCTTTTGTTAAGTTGTCAGTGCTATGACCAATAGGTGACACAACATTGATTGCTGACCATGAGTGAGACATGAGGTGTGCATAGCCTGAGTTAAAACTTGATTATTTTTATCACCATAACCATACTGATTGCGACCTTAGAAGTAAAATAGTATTTCATAATCACCCTATTTTCTACTTAGCTCCTGCTGTTGTAGAGGTGAGAGAGGAAAGTGATACTTCACTCTGAGTATGTTCTGTTTTCTTGGTCACATTTTGTTTATTTATTTGGGACCATTTACTCACTGACACTTTTATTTTCAATTTCTGCTTTTACCATGCTTCTGCTTGGATATACATTAATTAAGTTAACATTGCACCAGCCCTGCTATGGCTGCCTTTGCCTTTCACCAGCTCATGATCATACGGATAAAAGCTGATTCCAGTGTGTCATTATTGCGTTTTTGGAAAACTGCCTTTGGTTGGGCTTGATTTTAGTGCAAATCAAGACATTCCTGTTAACTAAATTTTTAGTGAGAAGTGGAAATCACTTTGTGAAAATTTGTCATTATGATCTGTTAAATTACTTTCTTTACATTTCTAATTTTTTAGAGTTACACCCTAGTTATTGAATTTAATTGCTTTATTGTGTAATGTCAGCCTTAAGAATCTTTAAGACCAAAATGTATTTTCTACAATTTGAGTTTTTTTTTTTTTTTTCAATTTGCATGTTTTAATTAGTAATATCTCTCAGAAGACAATGCCTTTTTATNTAAATTTGATGTTGAATTTGCAGTTTAACATAATGTACTTTTGCATCAGAATTGACAGTAGCCTATTTTGTGCATAGTTATTTCCTGTTTTTTGTCTGTACATTTGACAGCTTTGCTGCCTTGTTCCTGTTTATGATATAGTTAATAAGTTCACAAGATGCATGTTTAATTCAAGATGCATGTTTAATAAAAGATCACTTTTAGGGTTCCTATATCCTCCTATATCATGGCATAATATTACTCTATAGTAATTCAGATTACATTGGAGAAGCCCGAGACCATTTTAGATATTATACCCAGTTTTCTTTACTACAACTGCTTCATGTAAATTGAATGCTGTTAATTACTGTCATGAATGATGCAGGCAAGGTTAAGGAAAGTGTTTGATCAATTTTGAAATAACATACCTGAAAAACCTTTAACCTTTATTATGGCTTGCTTGTACTATGAAAGCTTGAACTAGCAACTAGCACTAAAACAATAANACAGCTTTGCTGCCTTGTTCCTGTTTATGATATAGTTAATAAGTTCACAAGATGCATGTTTAATTCAAGATGCATGTTTAATAAAAGATCACTTTTAGGGTTCCTATATCCTCCTATATCATGGCATAATATTACTCTATAGTAATTCAGATTACATTGGAGAAGCCCGAGACCATTTTAGATATTATACCCAGTTTTCTTTACTACAACTGCTTCATGTAAATTGAATGCTGTTAATTACTGTCATGAATGATGCAGGCAAGGTTAAGGAAAGTGTTTGATCAATTTTGAAATAACATACCTGAAAAACCTTTAACCTTTATTATGGCTTGCTTGTACTATGAAAGCTTGAACTAGCAACTAGCACTAAAACAATAACTAACAGATACCTTTAATCTTACATTCTGTTTGTCAGAAAGAAATTTTTTTAATCTCAGAAATTAACAGATTGGCACTCCTCAGATTCTTAATGATATTTTGTACTACTTTAGCCGAGATGAATGGCTACCACTACGACACTGCCTCGGACAAGAAATCCAATATGGCGATCAACCCTGTGATGATGATGCCGCCACCTCCTCATGAGGCAGATCGTTATTCAGAGTACTCTCATCGCAGCGACCCTGCACGTTCCAGACGTTTGGATCCACATCACAAGGGAAGATCTGATTTCCAGCTGTAGATTAGTTCTCAACTGCAACTCTGTTGAAAATGAGATTATTCTGGACTCACTCTGATATTCTTTTTTTTTCTCTTTCTCTCTCTTGCCAATTGTTCAAATTTATATTTTGTATGAAAAATTTTATACCGAATTTTGGGGTCTTTTGATTAAGGCATGAAATTTGAATTTGGTTTTAGATATTTCACCAAAAGAGAAATTCTGCAACTGCAAGCCCAGTTATGAGTTTAGTTATATTTCAACACAGGGTAATTTGATTCTTAAGCACTTTCTATCTATGATATGTTTTTAAAACTTATACTTTTCATAACTGACCCCTTAATTTTTGCAGCAATAATTAAAGCTCCATTTGAATTGATTTTATCTATAATTATGGGAAAAAAAAGACAGTTACAACAGAAAGTAACTTATAAAATCAGCCATGTGTGTATTTTATCCAGGATTGGGAAAAAAGTCTTTAATTATGTCAACTCTTTGCAACTACAGTATTTTATTTATTATCATTACATACATGATTGGTAATTGGTAAATTCCTGAGTATCTCTTGTCATTTTATCCAGCTAATCTCTAGCTAAAGATGATGCATCACAGGTTTGTATCGAGAGAAAATGGGAACAATTAATACACAGCTTTAAAAGAATGCTTATCCTTAAATCAACTGAAGCTGACATTTGACCTGTTTAGAAGGCGTGTATTTAAGTACTCCTAGCTGCCAAGATATGCTGTGCAAACAGATTAAACTTTACTTTAAGATTATGCACTTTTTATATCAAAATGTTCTAAAACACCATTCAGGTTCGTATTTTGAGAGTAAAAGAGAATGAAATTTTTATCAATATCTATGCATTCATGATTTGACAGTTTGATTTTTATAGGATCTTCCATATATTTTCATAACATCATGAGATTATTGATCATAGCCTTTATAATATATTGTTAGGATTAAAAGTATCAGATAGGTTTCACTTTGAAAAATACATTGCAATGCATTGTTATATTTACACGAATATCCATTTATAGGTAGTATTCAGTGGGCTTAATTTGTAGCAAAAATTTTAGGAATATAGACCCAACTTTTCAGAAAACTAATGGAAATATATTATGTAATTATGTAGTTGTTAGGGAATACCATTATTGACAACCTTGGAAGACAGGTTATTTTGTTCTTTATCGCTTACTTGACTTTGGTATCCTCCCCTGTTTCCCTACAGTGTACATAATGCCCAGTGCAAATATTTTACTACCATATCAGCAGAGTTTACATGGAAAAATTTCTTGATAAAATGATGCCATAAACACTTATTAATCAGAAGTTTATCTGTCCCTTTTTGATTGCAGTTTGCAAATAATTTTTTGTCTTTCTAAAATGATCATATTGCTGTTTGATATTCTTAAACATCATGGTTGGTAATCGTAGTAACAGAATACTCTATAAGAAACATTTTATGGCTCTTTTTGAATTATCCACTTGTGCCCAGCAACAGATTTTTCTTTTCCATTTCTTCAAAACTAAAAATAGGTTTCAGAATTTGAATTTTGCTTGCCCTGAAAGAGAACCAGTGCCATCTCTCACCTCTGGGCATCATCTTTACTCTTCATGCTTTTATTCCTCATCTAATGATTTTGAAGTAATTTAGAAGTGGTCTATTTATGTGATGTTTTATGGTGATATTTGATTTAAAAATGAACACTGTTTGATAAAAAAAAAAAAAGAGAAAGAAGACTTGCCCTCTAGCCCTTAATGTATAAAACTGTAAAAAAAATTGTTCATGTCCTGAGGAATAACATTAACTCTATGACCTGATTTTACTTCTTACGGTAAATAAGATATTAAAGTGAAGTACACAACATTTTTAAAGTGGTAAGACATGCCTTTAGGGAAAATGTAAGGTAGGCAAACAGAACTCTGTGGATGTATTTGACATGGGGGGGGGGTATCAAAATGTCCGAACCAACAATCGGTCTATATCTTTCAAACTGTATCAATTGATGTGAACTGTTACAATGTTAATTTTTTTTGTGGACATTTGAAAGAAAATGGAGCTTAAACTATTTTTAATTGGGAGATTTTATGGTTGATTATTATATACATGTAAAGGGGCAGATAAGAAAAACAAGTGCAAGGACCGTGTATTTTGGAATTGAATGTATATATCCTTTCTTCTGTAGTAAAAGGTAAATTGATGGATTTTTGTTAAAAAAAAATAGTTGACTGTATAGAGTTTTAGAGTCCTCTGTTTCCTTTTCCATCCCTGGTGATCCCTGATGTGTTTTATACGGTTAATGTGAGAAGACATGAAAGACTTCTTTGTCAAGACCAGGTATACGTAATGTTCTTTTTCCACTGATTATTTATGCTAAAAAGAAACATGTTTCGAATACATAATTCTGACTCACACTGGCACTGATTCATTTTACCCAAATTCAGTTAAAGATAAAAAAAAAAATACTCTGTTGGGCAGAAAGACTTGAATAATATTTGCATTTGATAACTTTACACCAATTAATAATTCATCTTTTGGAAATGAAAAAAAAAACAAAAAACATAACCATATGTAGGCACAGTAGAAAATATGGCAGACTGGGCCTATCCAAGTACCTTGTATACCAAGATAAAGACATCCATTAGACTAGTAACTGGTTAATGATTCACCAGACTGGGAGGTTTTCTTAACATGGGCGGTACTCCTTTCCTTGGAAATAAATCCATACAAGTTTCATATTAAGGCTACAATAGAAAGACCATTGTACCTAATGGAATCACATTATGTCAAAAAGTTTTTCTGACTTAAATGAGATTAATGGTAGATTTTCACGTATTTATGTCTTAAGTAATGGATTAGTACTTCTCATGGGGCTATTGGGTTTGAAGAGATTGCTTTAATAGGTTGCTAAGGCCAATCAAGGAAGGCATAGTTTTAGTGCACCAAAACAATATCTCTATGCTGATTCTATGCAAACTGACCTAGCTGCTGTTTTTGTTGACAAAATGCATAATTTTTTAACATAAATCTGTAAATGGAGGTTTTTTTCCTCCAAATGATTTTTATCTCTCATTTCCTTCTGTATATTTCATATTGTTCTAGTATTTTCTTCAAGGCAATTAAGTGTATATTGAATTTGAATGAAAACGGTAACCATTGATTTTTACTGCTTTCAAATCAGAGTCCATAGTTGGAAGATTTTGGTGACATTTGATATTATACTTCTCAAGAATAATTTTAACTATGCCGAGAGACTTGGATTTTGAAAATGTAGCCAATATTTGAGGTGTGTAATATGACTTAGTATATAAACTGACAATTCACTGAGACATTTGAGCAATAAGTTTTGCCAACTTTAAACTGGCAAGGATTTAATTTGGGAAATCTCTTAAATTTGTACTCAACCCTTGTACTAAGAAATTTTTTCTTTGCAAGAAAATGTTTCCCATTAAGGTTACTTCCTATTTGAAACTAGGTATGACCTTGAATATTAATTGTGAAAAAACCTCAATAAATTATGATTATAATCTTCATTATTTGAAAATCCAGAAACAAGGATCCGCATGTTTATTTTAGACAGCCCCACCCACCCCTCAGCAATGAACCTAGTATAATTTGCATTTTGATATTTAAATAAACATTCCCTGAAGTGAAATAACAGTGCAAAGATAATATATAATTATATATTTAATCAGGGCCAGGTGATACTTAACATATCAGAGACAGACATCTTGAATGTATTTGTATTAATTATTCCATTATACTAAGCACATATTGTTAATGTGTATGCAATATTTATGTAGTTTTGTTTATTAAGACTTTCATGTAATTTGGTTGTTATGCAGTGACAAAATATGGAGTCTGAAGTCAGAAAAAGAAAAATTGAAATCATTATTTGAACAAAGATTTACAGATGATTGAGTGAATGTTTTTAGTCATCCAGTAGAATTAGAATGAGAAATGTATATGACTCTGATACTAGAACTTACATTTAGTATATAAATCCATGTAGGCAACGTAAACTAATGTGTGTTCTAGTATCAGAGGTATACATATTTTTCATTCAGCATTTACAGATGCTTAGACAAGTTGGAATACCAAATTTAAATTAGCTGGAAAATCTAAGGAAGGTGTAGATTTTACATGTCATGATATTTATATATATATGAGATGATTTTAGCCTATTTAAAGGTAGATTATCATATTAAGTGTTTCACACATACATTTTTAAAGTAAAAACTGTTATTCATACAATCCTCACCTTTGTATGTTATACTCTTTTATATTTAAAAGTGAACGCACTAATTTTGAAGGTCACTATTTCTTAGAGGCTTTAGTTCAGAATTTAGGAAAAACTAAATTGCAAATTTTCAACAAAGACTACACTGTTTTGGAAAACTGTTGAGGAATTAACAGGCGTTCTAAAAGAGTATTTCAGATGAATACTTTGTCATATATTCTATGGGTAGTATATTGTTATTTATAACTTATGCAAACTCTTTATATACCTGCAGTCTACAATATATATATATATATATATATACTAGTATATAGCCAAAGAACTTATTTATGCTGTCGTTGTGCCATTTTTTGTTGAACAAAATTGTATTTCTGCTAATTACATGTCAGCAGTAGTTTTTCTTCATAATTTATCATGTTTATAAAATTATGTTAATTTCACCGTAGGAAAATAGTATTTAGGAAGTATTTCATTAAATAAACATTAAACAAAAAGCAAAAAAGACTTGTATATCTACATATTTTTCAAACAATAAATCTGCTTTGCTAATAATTAGAGTTGTTTTTTTTTCCCATTTTATAAGAAATTTACATTCATCATGTTCAAAAATACAGTGATGATGCAGTGTTCCACTGCCGCAGTAGTGGGTAGGAACATAATAAAGCAGCTGCAGTCGGCCTTTTTTCAGTTGATCCCACATGCTTTTGTATGTGGCTAGAATGCTTAAGTTTTTTATTTGCTTCTGATATTAATGTTCCTAATCTTATGTCTTTGAGATCTGCAATTTACTAAGTACGTAGATAATAAATGAAGCAGAGTTGGCCAGGATAACCCAAGTATAAATGATAGCTAGCCCTCGGGAAATTTCAAAGGGTTAACCTCCCTCGGCTCCTGTGATCCTTTATGTTGTTTAATTACCAAAATAAACAGGCCTGTATCCGGGGGGAGGGGGGCGGGCGGGTCAAACCCCAGAAGAAGGTCGTCCGCTCGGGGGAAACTTATGAACAACATGAAGGTTTCATGGTAAAAGGTCCACTTTTAAGGAAATGACATCCCCTCCTCTGAAATGGCTGGCTACGGGCCTGATAGTCAACAACTTATTTTTTCTTCTTTCAATTTATTCACTAATTAGTTGGATATAGACAAAAACGTCGCATTTTGATAATCTACATCTCCTACAGCTTCCCAAATGTTTTTTTTTTTTTTTTATAAACAAGATTAACAAGAAGCATACAAGCATATAATGAAGAGTACATTGTCTATTTTATCAGAAGACTGATTCTAATTACCAAAATAAAAAAAGCATACTTGTAGGTGAAGATGGAGTTAAACAAGCTGCCTCAACGGGTTCAGGGGTTGGGATGAGAAGTAAAAAACGTAGAAAGTGGTCTTTTCACCAAAATGATGAAATAACCTTAACCTGAAAGCCAATACGAAGCATATTTTTCTGACGGGCGTGGAGTTTTCATTTTTACCTCATGGAATTTAACGTAAGCGAATTCAGGGGAAATTCATTCATTATGTTTCCTTTATACAAAACCTCATTACACAAAAATAGCCAGTAAAAATAAAACAAAATTGCAGATACCTTTTTATAATTTCATTCTATTAAAAATCGAATAACAAATATCGATATATTGCTATCAAGCCTCTGCCATTATTATAAGAATATGTATGCTCATACATTTTGCATACTATTGTAGACGCCCCTTATATCAGAATGTAGATTTGATAAGTGATGGAACCAGGGGCGGATCCAGATATATTTTCTGACAGTCTTCCAAATTACCTTTGTTGATCCATCCTCCATTTCTGACCGTCTTCCGACAGAAAAATTAAGATATCCGTCAATGTAAACTTGAAAATCTGAGCGTCTTCCAGAAGACCCAGAAGACGGCCTAAATCCGCCCCTGCGGAACATTTCCCGATTTAGAGGGAATGCAACAGATAAATGTCAAAGTTAAGCACACTTAGTATAATTTTAAGGTATACCAAAAAGTAATTCTGATAAACCGAATGAAAAGTTAATGACATAAATAACCCCCCCCCCCCTCTCGTGGGTGCGCGCGTGCTGCGCTAATGAGGAATACCAGCCCGCTTGGCGCCAGGTGTCGCTAGTGTGAATTCAGTCCTTCCTAGGTCGCCATGTTGGATATCGTATACGTTGGACTGTGGCACTGGCCTTAATAAACATGCCTCAGTATTGTTGTGTACCTGAATGTCAAAGTCGGCAAGGTGGGCATAATTTTCTTGAGGATTCAGGGCTTCGTTTGAAGTGAAGGGTTGCCCATGTCAACACACCTTCCATGTTAAAGGGTCAGTTACAACTTGACCCAGGAACAGTAATTAGGCCCCTAAAGATAGACGAGTTGCCTCAAAAAGAATACACGTAAAAAGGTTAATTGATCTTGGCAAAACTTATAAAGTTTTGGAAAGAGAGCTCCATAGCAAGAAAGTGCCCCTAGGAAGTATGATTTATCAAAGTGCGTTTTCTTATGTCCGTAATTTCAGAAGAGTTGTCAGTAAATATATATAAGTCCCGGTAGCCTACTACCCGCATAAGGTTGTGTTATTAAGTAATATCCTTTTTTATTGATGTATTGAGCATGACCGGTAATGTTAATTAAATAATTATTTTTATTTAAAATCATTATTCAGTACCTCGTAAGAATCATAAAACTAGGTATAGTTAGATAATTTATTTGTTCATGTATAGATGCAATTTCTCAGCCAATGGAATAATGCATGTTTGGAAATCTTTTTGTAACAGTTTAAGAAATAAAATTTAAAGAAAGAAAACATTTTATAAATGAACAGTTTTTGTTCTTTTTTTACAAAATAGCACTTCTGAATTGTTTTACTTGAGTAGAAACACCATATTATTTCATCGCTCTGAAAATTCATT